CTTCGAAGCTAAAATATTTTGAATTATTATTGCATATAAAGATAATTTATGGTTTGTGGCTTATGTATCAGTACACAAGATGTAAATCAATGTAAATCTTATTAGGCTTCTCTTTACTGTTCTAGATTCGTGTTAAAAATGTGGTGTTCTTAGATATGGACAATAAATTATTTATCTCAAGTTACAGTGTACACAGGTACAAAAAAGCCCACATCATTGTAAAACCAATAGCATCACTGCTCCGCTTCGAAGCTAAAATATTTTGAATTATTATTGTACATAAAAATATTTTATGGTTTGTGGCCTATGTTTCAGTACACAATATGTAAATACATGCTTGCCTATTTATTTTACTGTGCCATTCGTTCTAATATTACTGTTTTTACGATTAAATTTAAATGTAGCTAGAAAAATAATGCATTAACATTATATTTCAGATGTATACAAACATATAATTAGGCTAATCGTTTTTTGATACGGACAATTTATCTCAATGCATCATATACCTATATTATTTGACTGTTTTAATTCGTTTTTATAATTGTACCCAATTATAAAAACGTATTACTTACTAACTTCAAAGCTATACACATATAATTGATAAATTGGTAAACATCTATATTTATTTTTAGGTTGTCTTAATTTAACCACGAAAGGTTAAGATTGACGTATTGATATTTTTTAGATGGGTAACCAAAAACTCATCATAACAAACGAAATTAAATACATCATTTAAATAATGTCACGTTTAAAAAACCTAATCTAATTGTGTTTTACTTTCTTACTAAAGTATAACACGTGGTACTCACTTGTCTATCTGAGTTTATCTGGAGGTTTTACTGATTGTATATGTTAGTTTGGGGAAATGTTTACAACAGTCATGAGTATTGTTTGACCATTTGGTATACACATAGCTGTTAGGCCTTATGGCACTCTTCATATTATTCATTTTATTCTATAATTGTTTATTCTATTCTATGTACTTATTCATTTTATTTAACCTTACTTGTATACAATAATTTAACTTGTATGATATAACAAATATATTATAAATTTTACATTGCAATAATACTGTAATTTTTAAATAAAAAAACTGTTAGGTGATGGCAATATTACAAAATTGTATTGAAATAGATTTTAGCCTGTCTTATGACAAATACAGAAGTACCGCCAAAATTGGTTCAACGTAATTTTCTAGAATATTTTTTTCTTTGTTACTTCTTCACAACCTGTCACACATTATTCACAACTATCACATCAGTATCTGTGCTGTTTCCGTCAAGGTAATATACAGATTGTAATTTGTGGATAAAAGGATAAGATGGGAGGAAAGAATATTTATAATACAGGATAATTTTTTTACCATGAGCCACTCAATATCTCATAGGGTTTAAAAAGACATTTTTTTTTTCATATTGTTTTTATACAATGTGATCACAATTGATCATAGTTTTAGTTGCAACAACTTTGAATCTTAGGAAGAGTTACTTATTTACTTAAATTTATAGTTATCAAAAGAGACATCTTATGCCCAATATGTTTTGTTATTTAATCGGGTTTCTTTAAAAGAAACCTTTTCATCAATGGTTTTCTGACTTGAGACTCTGTATATTAATAAATTTAATATTTTGATTTATTTGGTTCAAAAAATACGTTGAATATTTGGAATATTGGACAGTTATTTTATACAACGCTAACCCAAATCGTATTTTACTAGCGAAATATTTTATCCGGCTCTAGTGTTTTTTTAGGAACATGAACGGTCTGTTATTTTACAAATAACATTGCCTTTTACGTCATACTTTTATAAAACTGTTTTAATATAGTTTGAATAACACTTGTTGAATATTGTATATCATATTCTCTTATCATGAATCGCTCAATGTCTCATATGGTTAAATAAGAAATTAAACTATTTACCCATAGTTTAAGTTGGACCAACAATGTATTATTTTCTGTGCAGAAGGGTGGTATATAATAGTAAAAAGATATGAAATAAATGTTTTATGTTTTAGACAGATGATCCAATAAGGAGAAAACACTATTTTTTTAGAAATAATAGTAATTTTTAGTTTTTTTGAAAGAAAAATTTTCGATTAATTAATTTTGAAGTATTAGGCGTTGAATACAATTTAAGTGAATAAAATGTACATTATTTAACAAAGGTTATTCAAACTATGTAGATACATTTTTATTAAAGTATGACGCAAAAGGCAATGTTTTTTTTATAAAATAACAGACCGTTCATGTTTCTAAAAAACACCATGGCCGAAAAAAATATTTCGATAACAAAAAACCATCTGAGTTAGCGTTGTATAAAATAATTGTCTAATATTCCAGATATTTTTTTAACTGAATATATTAAAATATATTATTTTACAGAGCCTCAAGTCAGAAAATCATTGATGAAACGGTTTCTTTTAAAGAAACCTGATCAAATAACAAAATATATTGAGCACAAGATGTCCCTTTTGATAGCTATAAATTTAAGTAAATAAGTAACTATTCCTAAAATGCAAAGTTAGTCCATCTAAAACTGTGATTATTTTAAGGGTACAAAACATTTTCAGTTGGACCGTATTGTTCCTCTTGCCATTGAGTTGGGCCAATTATTTATTTAGTCGTTCTAACAAGAAATTAACCGTGTCCCTATATTAACTATATTTTAGTTGGTCCTAATATGTAATTTTTCTGTTTAGGAGGCTGGTATACAAATCAATAGTAAAACCTTAACTTAATGTTGAAACCTTAACGTTCATTCATTAAGGATAAGACACTACTTTGTTTAAAAATAATTATAATTTTAGGTTTTCTGAAAGAAAAATTTTCGATTAATTAATTTTAAAACTATTAGGCGTCGAATAAAATTTAAATAGGTATAATATACATTATTTAACAAATATTATTCAAACTATGTAGATACAGTTTTATTAAAGTATGACGCAAAAGGCAATGTTTTTTTTATAAAATAACAGACCGTTCATGTTTCTAAAAAACACCATGGCCGAAAAAAATATTTCAATAATAAAAATCAATTTGAGTAAGCGTTGTATAAAATAATTGTCCAGTATTCCTAATATTTCATATATTTTTCGAACCAAATAAATCAAAATATTGAATCTATTATTATACAGAGCCTTAAGTCAGAAAAACAAAATTACAAAATACATTGGGCACAAGATGTCCCTTTTGATAGCTTTAAATTTAAGTAAATAAGTAAATATTCCTAAAATACAAAGTTGGTCCATCTAAAACTATGATTAATTTAAGTGTACAAAACATTTTCAGTTGGACCGACTTAATAAAAATTTGGTCCAACTAATATTTGGTTATTTTATGGAATAAGGGCAGACATATTAAAACCATAATGATATTCTCCTCTATGCAATGATATTACATGGAAAGGGTCACCAAATTGTGACAATGCATATAGTTAAACCAAATTCTGATATCAAAGCTTTTTTAGCACATTATGACCAAAAATTACTAATAACGTCATAGTCGATTCTTCTTCATATGTATTCGGCGTGGTTGTGTCGCATATCTATCTTGATAGTTCCGAAAGGCCTATAAATGTTTGCTTATTTATTGAAACACTCCTTACACGACCACACATGAATTGCCTGTCCAGCTATTATTAAGTTATCCTACTAGAACCGTTTTCGATTTATTAACTTCAAATACAAAAGATGTGGTAATTAATAATCAAATTTCTTAAATCAAAAATGGGGGGGGGGGTTGGGGGAGAAAGAATCATAAGCTTACAATAGGGCGACAGCGTATTGATAAAAGATTGTAGAAACAATTGGGAAAATTGGTAATTTGCTACGGTTACTGAAAATATAAGTGGCAATACACACATAGTTACAAAAAATATACTATTTAAACATTTAAGATTTTTGATAAATTTGTAATATTACTATGAACGGTCAAACTATAGAATGCATTTTTAATTTTATTTAAAATATTAAAAAAATATTAATTTATTTATGTAATATATTTTATTCATAAATTATTTATTACATCATTACTAATACTTGCATTTCTAAGTTTTTTAGGGAAAAGTTGCTACGAATTAACGTTTTTAGATATTATACTGAGTGGCCCACAATGATTTGACAAATCGAATAACTTTTGTTCTAGTGAATATTTTTGAGATTTTTTTTTAAAAATAATTTATACTCCTTTGTGCCATAAGCACTACGGTTTTTATTGCACTTACCTGTTTTCCTTTTTTTAGATTATTATTTAGTTGTAATTTATTTCTTACTGTTTAAAACGTTAAAAGAATGGAGGGGAGTATAATAATCTAAAACCGGTCTTCAGTGACCCATCTATAAACATAGTTTATGGACATAACATTTAGTATAAAATAACTGCAAATAGTCAAAACGTTGAGAAATTAATTTCATATTCATGCAGAGTAGGAAGTATAAACATGACTTGTTTTGCAAAATTCCTCTAAACGCAATATTATTGATAAAAACATGTATTTATTCATTCATTTGAATAATATTTATATGAATATATTACCTATGTTTTTTTAAAATATTTGTATTTAACAAAAAATATTTGTCATTACTTATCTCTGACTTCTAGCACATGTCAATAAGTAGCCAACTTTTTACCAACTAGTATAGGGTTTATGTAAATAAATATTTTATTTTTGGCATATAATTCTTGAGATCTCAATGACGAGAGCAAATAAATCGCCACATTATAAAAAACAATTAATTTAGATCATTCTAAATACCGAAGAGTATAAAATAGAGAAATAAAAAAAATAAAAATAGATGAAGGAGTTTTATAGCTTTATTAAACCAATGTCTAGATCAATATAATACATTAGTTTTATTTAATTAGGTTAGCGAAAACAATTGAAAGTTTTAGATTAGCGTAGTATGCTTTATGTAATAGGCATGTGAACAAATTAAGTTTACAAAATTTGTATTAATCAATTAAAATTTAATTATTCTTTAAAATATTAAGATTTTTTTAATATCAGTATTTATTTTATAATAGCGAACCTAAACTGTGCTGGGCTGATTTGGAACAGGCACAATCATTGGAAGGCTATCGAAAATTAAAAGAAGTCGTTGGGCAGGCAACAATAATGCTGGTACTTCTGGAATACTTTTAAATGCCAGGGTTCTAAGAATATCTATGTCATATCCATCTTGAAGTCTATTTTTTAATCCATCAGGGCAGTTATGAAAATGACTATTCTCAAGAAGAATATTCACAACACCACTTGGACATCCACTTTTATTCAATGCTTTTCTTACAGTATCCTTTAAAAAAAAACGGTTAAACATGTTTTTAAATAATGTATTTAATACAAAAATCACTTTTTTATCATTATCAGGTTCACGTATCAGAGTAGTCCAATCTGGTAAGGTCGTTATTTCTAAAGATCCTACCCAATCATCATAATTTCGATATTGTACCGTTGCTTCGGTCTAAAAAAAATTAAACGGTAATTAATATGAAAAACAAATACTGACTAAGTATGGTCGGATAAAAAGTATTTTATAGTCTGCATGCTCTCTTGACGTTAATAACTTGATAAGTACTTAGTCATATCAGAAGTTATTTATTATTACAATAATAAAAGTATAGTTTTGCAATTAAATATTTAGTAAAGTTGAGTATGTGGCAATTTTTTAAAAAAAAAAGGTATGCATATCTTTAAAATGTATTAACTTATAACCTAATAATTTGTTCTAAGTACTCATAACAAAAAAAAACCAATTATATTATTTTCCATATGGCCATACCCGTTTGTATGTAACAAAAATGAAACCAGTACAGTGGTGTTGATGCATGTGGGGACGGATTATTATTACAACTATAAGTGTTATAATAATTTATAATTTTAAGAACTTTGAGAATAATTTCAAATTAAAATACAATTGTCCACTTTTATTGTTTTTTCTTAGTAAATTAATAGTTGTATTTTGTAGCCCTATTCTAAAATTATCTTCGGTCTAATTTTACATCTTAATTCGTGAAACTTCTTCTAAAACTTTACCTACGATGTAGGTGTAGCGTTTTTAGTTTTTTGATAATTTAATCTATGTGACACAAATATTTTTTTCTCTTCTCTATTTTGAGTTTGTAAAATAAGTAAAAAAAAAATCAGTGCACAGTGGGGTCGGGGTCTAGTGGGGACAAGGAAGTTACTTTAGTTAGGAACTTACTTAGAATTTACTTTAGTTTTTAATTCTAAGGGTGCAAAACATTTTGTGGACTTATGAAAAACATACAATATACTTTGTATCGGCTAAAAATAATAAAAGGCGATACTCGATTATATTTACCGATGACACGCATGAACAACACCAATGTTCACCAGCGTTCACTAAAGCGATATAACAAGGCAACAAAACTATAATTTTCCCAATCATTTTTTCGTTTATCTACTGTGAAATACCTGTAACACTAAGTAACAACTAGAGAAATAAAAATCAGGAACAGCACTGAACATTTGTTGTTTTTAAGTATTTATAGCAGCTACCATGTTTATTTTACTGTAGCCTGCCGTTCTTACAACATCTGTTAACATTGTATTTCAGAAGTATGCAAACATAATATAGGTATTGACTAAATGAGTATTTTATGTCGAATGTTAAAAGTAAAATATAAATGTGTACAATGGTATAGGATGTATCGTATTTTATATGATTAAAATTAATTAGATACAATTTAAGTTATTTCTTATTAGGGTGTACTGAACACATATATTTTATGTCGGTAATAAATGTACATATAAATTTAAGCACACAAATTACCACCAGGACTATAAATGTAACTGGTAAAAAGGGCTTAAAATAATTTTTTAATAAACAGCCGCATCTGTGAAATGTATTTTTTGTTAGGTTATGAAAAAAAAACAAATATTAAATATGTATCATCGAGTTTTTTTGTGATCGTTTCTAATGTACTGTTGTACTATTATTATTATTCATGTTTTTTCAATACATACTATTTTGTTTGGATTAAGAAAAAATATGTTAATTACTAACTATTCTATTCATAACATAATAAATCTTTAGTTATTCATATTACGGTGTTGTAAACTAATTCAACGCAACATATATGTATAACATATAATACGTATAATGTTTTAAAGTTTTTTTTTATAATGGCAAAATGCCCTTAATATGTCAACAAAATCATACGTGAACCAGGAATAGATTCTCGTGAAATATGCACAAAACATTTTTTACAAAAACTTAAAAAAAGTAGAAATACACAAACCAAATAGTTTTTTAAAAAACTGGATCATACTAATCCTTCAAGTAGGAACTTGTTAAATCAAAAATTGCATTCAGTAGGTAAATTATACATTAACCTACTATACAGTTCATAAATTCATAATTTCAGTAGGCTATCAAGTAAGCCGAGCACTCCCCTCGGAATCTAGGACCTTCCCCAAAATATTGTGCAAAAGGGGTGGTGAATGCCGCTATTTAAATTTATTGAGTACGGGCAGCAACTCAAACGTCCATCGATAACTAACGGGCCGCAATTCAACGGTCACCGGCATAGCTAAATAAAGAGTTGGTCCAATTATTTATTTAGTTATTCCACCAAGAAATGTATTGTGTCCCTTATATTAACCCAAAAATAACTAGACCAGCTATATATATTATAGCTGCCAAGTTGTGGACCAACTATGTATTTTTTCTCTCTACGAGGGAAGTATACAATAAAAAAACAAATATATGTTTTATGTTACAAACAGATGATGTAATAAGGAGAAGACAATTATTTTTTTTAAATAATTGTAATTTTTAGTTTTTTTCTTAGAAACATTTTCGATTAATTAATATGGAAACTATTACGTGTTGAATAACATTTCAATAGATAATATATACATTATTTTGAAAATGTTGTTCAAACTATGTAGAAACATTTTTATATGTAATTAATACCTAAGACTGATACTTGAGTATCAAAACTTAAATGTATCATTATAAATAGATGTCCACAAAAATGTTGTAATTATTTGATAAATTTGTTTTAAGATTTAAGGTTTATAATATGTTAAAATATATGAAATCGGCGGGAAATATAGTTTTTTCGGCAATTAGAGAAAAACTGTATCCCGAATTTTTGCTTCGTTTAATATGTTAAGGAAACATATGAGTTCTAACTCTTGACGAAATTTTCAACCTATAGGTCCAAAAATTACTGCTGAAAAACACAAAAAACTAAAAATTTGCACTACCCTTAGGGGGATGGGAAAAATGGGCATAATTTAAATCTGAGACTCTACGTGTAGGGGCATACCAAATAAACATTCCAACTCGATCCGACTCTTTTTCTCAAAATAATAGCCGGTAAAATTTCAAACTTTATTTTTAAATAAAATATTAGGTACTCTACAAACAAGAAGGTATATTATTTTGTACTATTTTAATAACACCTGTTTTTTTAAAACATATTTTGCTTGGTTGTTTGTGATTTTATATGTTTGAACTATTTTCTTGCACGGACGGTAGTACCGTATGTTTACTTAAGTTATAGCAAATACCTATGATGTACATATGATTCATTTTATACCATTGTTGGTGTGGTTATATTTATTTGATTTATTATTATACCTCTCAAGACATATTGTAACTAAATATTGCATTTAGCGTTTAACGCATAATTATAAGAATACAACTAGCATTTTTAGTTTTAAATTAAATTAAAACCTAAAACTGGTACATAAGTACTAAAAACTTAATCATATCACTCTAAATAGATGTCCACAAAAATATTGTCGTGATTTGATAATATTTTTTTAAGATTTCGCGTGTTTTTGTTTGAATATCCAAAATCTGCGAAAACACAGTTTTCCGGTAATTAAAAAAATCTGTAATCCAGATTTAGCTGTTGATGCGGAGCAGTGATGCTATTGTTTTTAAAACGATGTGGGATTTTTTTTTGTCTGTATATACTGTAACTTTTAAAACACTGGAGCAATTTCTTCAAGTAGCAACTCTAAAAAAAACAAATTTCATCAATTGCTACTTTGGGGGGAGGGGGGGGGGGTGGTAAATTATGCCCATTTTTCCCACCCCCCTAGGGTGCTGCAAGTTTTTTAAGATTTTCAGCCGTAATTTTTCGACCTTTAGGTTGAAAATGTTTTTCAGGAGGTAGAACACATACGTATCGGTAACAAATTTAATTAAACGATAAAAATATTCGGGACACATGTTTTTTCTTTATTTGCCGGAAAACTGTGTTTTTTTAAATCTTTTAAAATAAATCTTATTCTGCGTATGGATCAAACTCGTTTGGAGTGAATTGAGATAGCAAATTTCAAAAGACAGATGCCTCTCATAGATCTAAAGTTGTAGAAAATAAGCAGAAAAATATTTTGCCCGTGTATTGTTCAAATTATAACATGTTTTTATGTTCAACTAAAAAAAAATGTGAAGGCGACACAAACATGAATATATCGGGTTGAAAACAAACAAAAAGCAACAGATATTATGTTACTAGTACATATTTTACAAAAGCAATACTAAACGATCTGATTAAATATACATTACGAATTCTTCTTGGTAGGAAACTAACAAACAAACATATTTTATTTAACACCAAAAATATTTTTCAAGCCATGTAAACCATGTATATTGTACAACAATATTGTTCAAAGAACGAATTTTTAATATCATGCCCAATAACATATCATTACATCCACATTTTATTCCTTTATTTTTTTTACAAGCTATCACAATATTATAACATTTTAACGTTTCAATCAACGACTTATAGTAACTCATATATTTGTATACATTTATAAAAAAAAAGATTCTTTTGTAGTTAGGCAACGTTAACTTATTTACAAATGTCATACTACAAATCAGTGAAATTCTTAAGTGAAATAACAGGTATCGCGCGAAAACATATACGAACTAGTCATATTCTATCATGATATGTTGATTTTTTAATATAATTTTCTTTTTGAATTGATGTAAAATATTTTAACAATACTTAACACAATATTATTTATATAAATATTTATGTATTCATTCATTAAATTTAATTTTATATGAATATATTACCTATATTTATTTAAATATTTGTATTTAACAAAAAACCACTGTCATTACTATCCCAAACTTCTAGCGTATATCAATAAGTAATAACCACTTTTACCAATTTGTAAAGGGTTAGGTATAGTACGGTATAAATAAAATAGAGGAAGGAATATTATAGATTATTAAATCATTGTCTAGATCAATATAATCATTTTATTTAATTATGTTAGCAAAGACAAAAAAAAGTTTTAAATAAGCGTAATATGTATTATGTATTAGGTACGTGAACAATCAGGTTTACAAAATCGTGTACAAATCAACAAAAACTTAATTATTCTTTAAAATATTTGAAATTTTTCACTATCAGTATATATTTTTTTAAATTTATGTTTTTTTGAGCCGGTGAAATTTAATTCTGCCTCTACGATTTTAATCAGAAGCCACCATTTGTTAAGCGCTGTCGTAAATAAATAGAAGTCCTGGTGAATTCACATAAAGAGTTGGATAAGGGGTCACGTACACCACTCGTGTGCCTGGTATTCGACTAAAAGTCAATGGACGCATTTTCGTTTGGTTAACGTATGGTGCCCGATCTGATTTTAAATGATAAGGCCACCTATCCCAATGACTGGTCGCAAGAAGTGCATCCAAAGTATTAGTTGGACATCTACTTTTAACCAATGCGTCCCTTGCAATTTGCTTAAAAAATAAAAAATTGTTAAACGTGTTTTTGAATAATGTATTTTATATAAAAATTACATAATCATGGTCCTCAAGGATACGGGTCAGCTTATTCCAATCTGAAATGGTTATTACTTTTAGTGAATCTATCCATACTCCAATACTTCGAAAAGGTTCCACGTCTCCAGCCTAAAAAAAAATTAACGGTAATTAATTTGAAAAACAAATACTTAACACACTCAGAGTATATAAGCGATATAATTTTAAGAACTATGAGAATAATGTCAGTTAAAGTGTAATTTTTAACTTTTATTGTTTTTACTTAATAAATTAATAGTTTAAATACGAATTCTTGAGAGAAAATTGTATAATATGATATAACCCCATTTTAAAATTACCTTCAGTCTATTTTTAGATCTTAAGCCCTGAAACTTCTCCTAAAAGTAGGTGAAGCTTTTTTATTTTTTTTCTTTGCCTTATCTATGTATCTATGTAATATTTTTTCTCTTCTCTATTTTTGGTTCGTAATTAATAATTTTATAATATATTTCATTACATATTATTTTGTATTTTTATCACTACAATCAAAAATTTCTATCTATTTTTGTCCATAGCATTAGGAATATCGTTTTTATATTATCAAGTGAATATAAACATTTATTTCTATTTTTATGCTGATAATTTTCATATAAATGATTTTTTTAAGCATTTTTTTATTTAACAAAAAAATAAATTAAAAAATTAGTTTTGTTAAAAAAAAAAGTTTTGTTATAACATAAATCCAAACCACATCTAGGAATGGGTTTACAGATTTAAAAAAAATATCAAAAATTATCTTTTCATCCAAATTTTTGTTTTGAACCAACCTAATGCACACTTACCATCTACATTTAAAATTTGTTGTGAAAATATGTATAGTTTGATAAAATTACTTTAATTTTTTATTCTAAGAGTGCAAAATATTTTGTCGAGGTTTGAAAAACATACAATATACTTGTTAAAAAAAAAATAAAAGACGAGACTCGATTATATTTACCGATGTCCCACCCGAACAACTTCCACTAGCGTTCACTAAAACATTATAAGACGACAACAAAAGTATAATTTTCCAAATCATTTTTTCGTTTATCTACTGTGAAATACCTCAGCACTAAGAAACAACTAGACAATTAAAAATCAGGAAGAGCACTGAACATTTGTTAGTTTTAAGTATTTATAACAGCAAAAAAAAGCCCACATTATTGTAAAATCAATAGCCTCGCTTTGAAGCTATAATATATTTTGCTTATTTTGAATTATTACTGCGTACTTATAAAAATAATTTATGGTTTGTACCTTATATTTCAGTACACGAGGTGTAAATACAAGCTTGCCTGTTTTTTTTTTTTACTGTAGCCAACCATACTAATAACATCTGTTATTACGATTAAATCTAAATGTAGCTAGAAAAATAAGGCTTAAATATTGTATTTTAGATGTATACAAACGTGATCTACGTATTGACTAAATGAGTTTTATATGTCAAAGAGTTAAAAGTAAAATTGGAAGGAATATAATGGTTTAAGAAGTATCATTTATATGATTAAAATTAAATAGATCAAAGTAAAGTTATTTCTTAATAAGGTGGACTGAACACATACATATAATATGTCGGTAGTTAATTTATATAAATTTAAGCACACAAAGAAACTTAAAGAATAATAACTATAACTGGTAGAAAAGGTGTTGTCGCTGTTCTAGTTCCACGTTAAAAATGTACTGTTCTTAGATATCCACAATTTATCTCAATGCATCAAATACCTTTATTATTTGACTGTTTTTAATTACTTTTTCAATATTACCCGATTATAAAAATGTATTACTTACTTCTTCACAGCTTATATTATACAGATAAATTGGTTAACATCTATATATTTTATTTCAGGCTGTTTTAATTTAACCTTGAAAGGTACTTTCAAGTATTTGTATATTTATAAATTGCATTACATTTTTAAACCAATTTTTTTATTTAAAAAAATATTTTTTGCTTTTTAGTCATGAATGTGTGAAATTTTGCAATCGATTTTAAACATCTTGATGAGATTATAACAGACTGATGTGCCAGATTTAAGGTTTATTCCAGTTCTTCTTCGCCTGATCATATCTGAAATAGAAAATTTTATTTAATTCTTAAATAAAATTCTTTTTTTAAGATTATTGTTTTAATATTGAAATAAATTCATGCCACATTCTTTTTAATTCTAATCTTAAATCACTCTAACCAATCTTAAATATACTCTGACTCACTTATGGTGCTTGGGGCTCTAGTTGTCGCATTCTTCCGAACTCCTTCATTGCATCTTTATTGTACGGTGTCTTGTCAGTAAGTTTTGAATAGTCGAGCTCCTCTATTCTTAATTCATCTAATAATCTTACAGAACTTAATGTGATACATGACTGTTCTTTAGCAAATAGTGTATACCCTTGAATTGTGCGGACTATGAAGTAGTACAGTATTAGGGGGATCTGTGTCAAAAGATTACCATCTTTCATCAACAAACTATTGGTACAACAGATGGTACTGGACAGACAGACAAACAAACAGACAAGAAAACGTGTTAAAATTATATTGTCATCCGAACATTGGCAGCCATTTCTTGAGAATTGATAACATGAGTTGATGAAATTATTTAAAAGAATACTTAAAAAAAAATAATGCATTCCTTATTTTCTAAATGAATACACTTACATTCTCATAAAATGAAAAGCATTCGAAAATATTTTTTTTCAAATTGTGTCAAGTTTGTAGTAAAAATCAGTAAGAATTTACAAATGTCCTTACTAAATTGAAAAATTAGTGTCGTCCTAAAAAGCAAGCTAGCCCAAATAAACTAAAACTCAAACATAAAAAATAAAAAGCCTGTACAGTGGGGTCGGGGCATAGTGGGGACGGAGAGGTCACAGGTCTACAGATTTTGTTATAACTGAAGGTGATAAAATTAAAATTTAGTCTTGCGCAGCGTGGATACGATAAGGGTTGATCGAAAGGGTTTATGATATTTTTTTGGTTTGTTAATGTTTATCGATAGTATTATATTTGAAGAACGATTCATATAAAATTGGAACATTTTCGACTATTTTTAAAAAAGTTATAGAGCATCGTAATTTTAAGTTGAAAAATGTGTACATTTTTTAGGTGTTCTTCTCGATTTTGATGGGGAAGGGGTGACTTTTTTTAATTTTTGGCCTGATAAACTACCTTTCAGGTATGATTTCTGCTCTATAGAGCTGCTACATGAAGAAATCGGTTTTGCAGTTTACGAGATATCGTGGGACCAGACATAAAAAAAATAAATAAATAAAAACACATCATTGTAAAAACAATACCTTCTCAGCTCCGCATCGAAGCTAAATATTAAATGATTATACATGAGTGCTTTAGTATAAGATGCTCATTTTACTCTGAATAATTGCACGGAGGGTGGAACGTAGTATTACTTTTATCTGCGCGCATTACTGAACCGCACTTCACCCCCGTCCTAAATTTTAATTTTAATAACTCAAAAAGTGATATTTCAAAATTGGTTATCGATCAAACAAAATGTTCAGCAAATCATTCTTAATTTAAAAAATAACAAAGTAGGTATGTTCTCGCTTTAGTTTCAAAAATTGATAGTCATTTGGAAAAAATAAAAATAAAAATGTGTTGTCCTAACATTGTAACATAAAATAAAACTTGTTTAAAATTTTTCTGAAACGTCATCACGATACTTTTTAAAAATACATTTTATACTTGTTACAAATGTTATTAAGTATTATTATTTGATTTTTATTAGTAAATTTTAGAAATCAATCTTCATTTTGTATGACCTTGGTTTTTTGGAAAATGATTCTAAAATTTGATCTATCAAAACAAATAGCGATGCTTTGATTGCTTTACTAGTGACTTATCAAAGTTAAAATTTTACAATATTTTCATCGACGGTTTTATATTTAAATAATTACATAATGAATAATAATTGATACAAAAGAGACTTAAATAAGAATAAATATCAATGTACTACAATAATTTGCATTTATCTTATGTAAACTCCTTTAACTACCGAACTAAATAATCGGTTCTGTTATATGCATAGATTTTAACTTTGTCTATTTTATTAACCCTACAATATTCTTAGCAAAAATAGTTGTTCAAAGCCAAAAATAGCCGTTAAAAAAAAGAAACCAACTACCACATTGTGTTGATAATTTATTTTTCTTTTAAGTATTTGAATACATAGATTATCAATGTTTTGAATTATTTTTTCATAGTTGATAATAATGATTGGAGTTAGAATTTTTATTTTAGTTGGTAACATATTTTCAAAACGACGTGGGTATCATGTTTTTATATTTTCTTTGTGTTTTCGGCGCCATATTAGGTACTCTACAAACAAGTAGGTGTATTATTTTGTACTAGTTTAAAAAACTTGTTTTTTTTTAAAACGTATTTCATTTGGTTGTTTGTGATTTTATATGTTTGAATTTTTTTCTTGCACGGTAGTACATTATATTTACTTAAGTTATAGCAAATACCTATAATGTACATTCGTATTTTACCATTGTTAAAATGGTTATAATTATTTAATTTGTTATTATACCTCTCAAGACATATTGGAACTACATTGCAATTAGCGTTTAACGCATAGTTATAAGAATACAACTAGCATTTTTAGTTTTTGCTGAATTCCCCTTGTTGTACTAAAACCAACGATATATAGGCGTTATTATTTTACTCCATTATATTATCATTCAGTATTTTTCACAATGACTGTCGCGTTGCAAACAAAATAATATGAAGAACACCTGTTGGTCGTGTATCGACTTTTTAGGTTATGCCATTATAAGAAGAGTCATGTTTAACAAAAACAATATTTTATAGTTTTACATACGTTATATTATTTCTATGATTTAAATCGCTGTAGCGCATACTTATCTGCACAATATACAAATGATGCAATACGTTATTTTTTTTATGGGTTTTTGTTTTAACGAAAACAAGTCTAATTTTTTACTTATTTTTCTTTCAATTCCACTCGGTCAAAAAAAATCAAAGTAAAAAAATAAACAAATTAAACTAAAACCTAAAACTGGTACTCAACAAGTTCATCAAATCACTCTAAATAAATGTCCATAAAAAAATTGTGATTTGATAATATTTTTTTAAGATTTCGCGGGTTAATATGTTTGAATATCCAAAATCTGCGAAAACACAGTTTTCCGGTATTTAAAAAAATCTGTAATCAAGATTTAGCTTTTGATGCGGAGCAGTGATGCTATTGGTTTTGCAACGATGAGGGGTTTTTTTTGTCTGTATATACTGTAACTTTTTTAATACTGGACCAATTTCTTCAAGTAGCAACTCTGAAAATCACAAATTTCATCTAGTTGTTACTTGGGGGGGGGAGGTAAAAGTTGAAAAAGTTTACTTCTTCACAGTCAAAATTTGAAAAAAACCTACAAGTCTTTAAGTTCGAACTTTCACTGGCTATAATTTCTAGAAAAAGAGTCGGATCGAGTTGAAATTTTTAAGGAGTATTTATTTGGTATGCCCCTATACGCTAAGAGTCTCAAATTATACTCATTTCCCACCCTCTAGGGTGGTTTTAGCCATAAATTTTCGACCTTTAGGTTGAAAATGTTTTCAGGAGGTAGAACTCATATGTATCGGTAACAAATTAAACAAAGCCAAAATTCGGGACACATGTTTTTTCTTTATTTGCCGGAAAACTGTGTTTTTTAAAATGTATTAGAATAAATCTTATTCTGCGTATGGAACAAACTCGTTTGGAGTGAATTGAGATAACAAATTTCAAAAGACAGATGCCTCTCATAGATCTAAAGTTGTAGAAAATAAGCAGAAAAATATTTTGCCCGTGTATTGTTCAAATTATAACATGTTTTTATGTTAAACTAAAAAAAAATGTGAAGGCGACACAAACATGAATATATCGGTTTGAAAACAAACAAAAAGCAACAGATATTATGTTACTAGTACATATTTTACAAAAGCAATACTAAACGATCTGATTAAATATACATTACGAATTCTTCTTGGTAGGAAACTAACAAATAAACATATTTTATTTAACACCAAAAATATTTTTCAAGCCATGTAAACCATGTATATTGTACAACAATATTGTTCAAAGAACGAATTTTTAATATCATGCCCAATATCATATCTTTACATCCACATTTTCTTCCTTCATTTTTTTTACAAGCTATCACAATATTGTAACATTTTAACGTTTCAATCAACGACTTATAGTAACTCATATATTTGTATACATTTATAAAAACAAAGATTCTTTTGTAGTTAGGCAACGTTAACTTATTTACAAATGTCATACTACAAATCAATGAAATTCTTAAGTGAAATAACAGGTATCGCGCGAAAACATATACGAACCAGTCAAATTCTATCATGATATGTTGATTTTTTAATATAACATTTCTTTTTGAATTGATGTAAAATATTTTAACAATACTTAACACAATATTATTTATATAAATATGTATGTATTCATTCATTAAATTTAATTTTATATGAATATATTACCTGTATTTATTTAAATATTTGTATTTAACAGAAAAACCACTGTCATTACTATCCCAAACTTCTAGCGTATATCAATAAGTAATAACCACTTTTACCAATTTGTAAAGGGTTAGGTATAGTACAATATAAATAAAATAGAGGAATGAATATTATAGATTTATTAAATCAATGTCTAGATCGATATAACAATTTTATTTAATTCCGTTAGCAAAGACAAATAAAAGATTTAAACAAGCGTAATATGCATTATGTAATAGGTACGTGAACAATCAGGTTTACAAAATTTAATTCTGCCTCTACGATTTTAATCAGAAGCCACCATTTGTTAAGCACTGTCGTACATAAATAGTAGTCCTGGTGATTTCACATAAAGTGTTGGATAAGGGGTCACGTATACCATTCGTGTGCCTGGTATTCGACTAAAAGTCAATTGACTCATTTTCGTTTGATTAACGTATGGTGCCCGATCTGATTTTAAATGATAAGGCCACCTATCCCAATGACTGGTCGCAAGAAGTGCATCCAAAATTTTAGTTGGACATCTACTTTTAACCAATGCGTCCCTTGCAATTTGCTTAAAAAATAAAAAATTGTTAAACGTGTTTTTGAATAATGTATTTTATATAAAAATTACATAATCATGGTCCTCAAGGAAACGGAGCTTATTCCAATCTGAAATGGTTATTACTTTTAGTGAATCTATCCATACTCCAATACTTGGAAATGGTTCCGCGTCTCCAGCCTAAAAAAAAATTAACGGTAATTAATTTGAAAAACAAATACTTAACACACTTAGAGTATATAAGCGATATAATTGTAAGAACTATGAGAATAATGTCAGTTAAAGTGTAATTTTTAACTTTTATTGTTTTTACTTAATAAATTAATAGTTTAAACACGAATTCTTGAGAGAAAATTGTATAATATGATATAGTCCCATTTTAAAATTACCTTCAGTCTATTTTTAGATCTTAAGCCCTGAAACTTCTCCTAAAAGTAGGTGAAGCTTTTTTATTTTTTTTCATTGCCTTATCTATGTATTTATGTAATATTCTTTCTCTTCTCTATTTTTGGTTTGTAATTAATAATTTAATAATATATTTCATTACATATTATTTTGTATTTTTATCACTACAATCAAAAATTTAAAAGATGAGACTCGATTATATTTACCGATGTCCCACGCGAACAACTTCCACCAGCGTTCACTAAAACATTATAAGACGGCAACAAAAGTATAATTTTCCAAATCATTTTTTCGTTTATCTACTGTGAAATACCTCAGCACTAAGAAACAACTAGACAATTAAAAATCAGGAAAAGCACTGAACATTTGTTAGTTTTAAGTATTTATAACAGCAAAAAAAGCCCACATTATTGTAAAATCAATAGCCTCGCTGCTCCGCTTTGAAGCTATAATATATTTTGCTTATTTTGAATTATTACTGCGTACTTATAAAAATAATTTATGGTTTGTACCTTATATTTCAGTACACGAGGTGTAAATACAAGCTTGCCTGTTTTTTTTTTACTGTAGCCAACCATACTAATAACATCTGTTATTACGATTAAATTTAAATGTAGCTAGAAAAATAAGGCTTAAATATTGTATTTTAGATGTATACAAACGTGATCTACGTATTGACTAAATGAGTTTTATATGTCAAAGTGTTAAAAGTAAAATTGGAAGGAATATAATGGTTTAAGATGTATCATTTATATGATTAAAATTAAATAGATCAAAGTAAAGTTATTTCTTAATAAGGTGGACTGAACACATACATATTATATGTCGGTAGTTAATTTATGTAAATTTAAGCACACAAAGAAACTTAAAGAATAATAACTATAACTGGTCGAAAAGGTGTTGTCGCTGTTCTAGTTCCACGTTAAAAATGTACTGTTCTTAGATATGCACAATTTATCTCAATGCATCATATACCTTTATTATTTGACTGTTTTTAATTACTTTTTCAATATTACCCGATTATAAAAATGTATTACTTACTTCTTCACAGCTTATATTATATTATATAGATAAATTGGTTAACATCTATATATTTTATTTCAGGCTGTTTTAATTTAACCTTGAAAGGTACTTTCAAGTATTTGTATATTTATAAATTGCATAACATTTTTATATTTGAAATTATTCTATATTTATTAGTCTATTTTTAAAATGTAGTAAATTAAAACCAATTTTTTTATTTAAAAAAATATTTTTTGCTTTTTACCAATTTGTAAAGGGTTAGGTATAGTACAGTATAAATAAAATAGAGGAAGGATTATTATAGATACTATTATTAAATCATTGTCTAGATCAATATAATCATTTTATTTAATTCTGTTAGCAAAGACAAATAAAAGTTTTAAATAAGCGTAAAATGTATTATGTATTAGGTACGTGAACTATTAGGTTTACAAAATCGTGTATAAATCAACGAAAATCGAATTATTCTTTAAAATATTTGAAACTTTTCACTATCAGTATATATATTTTTAAATTTATGTTTTTTTGAGCCGGTGAAATTTATTTCTGCCGCTTCCTTTTTAATCAGAATCCACCATTCATTCAAAGCTTTCGAAAATTAATATCAGTGGCGAATTCACCTGAAAATTTGGATAACGTTCCACGTATGCCACTCGTGAGTCTGCTATTCGACGAAGTATCAATCTACTCATTACAGCATATGGTGCCTTATCTGATTTTAAATGTGAAGGCCACATATCACAATGACTGGTTCCAAGAAGTTCATCCAAACTATTAGTCGGACATCCACTTTTAACCAATGCGTCCTTTGCAGCTTCCTTTAAAAATAAAAACGGTTAAACGTGTTATTGGATAATGTAATTTATACAAAAATTACTTTGTCATCATCATTAGGCTCACGTATCAAACGGTCCCAATTTAATTTGGGATAGGCTTGTAGTGAATTTATCCATTCTAGATTATTTCGAAATGGTTTCGGGTCTCTAGACTAAAAAAATATTAAACTGTAATTAATTTGAAAAACAAATACTGTCTAAGTATGGACGGATAAAAAATATTTTACAGTCTACATAATATTAAATGACACGCAAACTAGGGTGCTTCAAATGGTTAATGGCTTTATTATTTTTTGCACTTCTCCTAAGAAAATATTATTTGGATAAAAACATAACTTTTGGTATTTTATTTAGCCATTAACCTATTCCTAGATGTGGTTCGGGTTGATTTTATATCAAATGTTTAATTTTTTTTTATTTAATTAAAAAATGCTTAAAAAAAATATGTAATACGAAAATTATCAGCATAAAAAAAGAAATCGAAGCTATAAATACGAAATTCATAAAGCACCAAAATAGATAGATATTTTTTTAGAATAAAAAAAAAATCTGTCATTCTCAGTACTCTCCATTTAATAAAAAACAAAATCGTTATAATAACAAAGAAAAAAATTTTTTTAAGGTAAAAAAAAACAAACTGCAATAAAAATAAAATATTGTAAAAAATTAAAACACAATTCTAGTCATAAAATTATTTTTTTTTTCATTCAAAAATATATATAAGCTATATACTAATATAACACACACACACACAAATACTTATTTTCTCTATCTATTTTTATTATCTTTCTTTCTCTATTTTGTTGTTTTATTTTGTTCGTAATTAAATGCATAATATTATTATGCTAAAAAAAAAATGTGTAGGTTTTTTATCAAGATATCAAAAATGTTCATCTATTTTGATCTGTAGCATAAGCATTTTTGTCCTACCTAGGTCCAAAAAATTGTAAATGTTTTGTTATTAAGGACCTATAAATGTATGAAACAAATTTCAAACATTTTTGAAGTATAGTCGCGCACCCATTAGGTGATTTCACGTGGAATGACGCATAAACGATTTTTTTTAAGTATTTTTTTATTTAACAAAAAAATGAACTAAAACATACAATTTTTTATATAAAATCAACACGAAATGGCTTTGACTTTAAAGATCTCAAAAAATGTTATCTCAGAAAATATGAACGGTATGATAAAATTACTTTAATTTTTTATTCTAAGAATGCTAAACATTTTGTGGAGATTTGAGAAGTATACAACATACTTTGTAAAAAAAAAAATAAAAGACGAGACTCGATTATATTTACCGATGTCCCACCCGAACAACGTCCACCAGCGTTCACTAAAACGTTAAAACACGACAACAAAAGTATAATTTTCCAAATCATTTTTTCGTTTATCTACTGTGAAATACCTGAGCACTAAGAAACAACTAGACAACTGAAAATCAGAAACAGCACAGAACATTTGTTAGTTTTTAGTATTTATAACAGCTTGCATGTTGGTTTTACTATACTCAGCCATTCTAACAACATCTGTTCTGTTCTGTTAATGTTATGTTTTAGAAGTATACAAACATGTTTGTACGAGTAGCTACTCGAAGGAATTGGTCTAGTACCAAAACATTTACAGTGTACACAGACACAAAAGAAGCTCACATCGCTTCGAAGCTAAAATATTTTGAATTATTATTGCATATAAAAATAATTTATGGTTTGTGGCTTATGTATCAGTACACCATATGTAAATACATGCTTGCTAAAATATATTTTGCTTATTTTGAACTATTACTGCGTACTTATAAAAGTAATTTATGGTTTGTGGCTTATGTTTCAGTACACAAGATGTAAATCAATGTGAATCTTATTAGGCTTCTCTTTACTGTTCTAGATTCGTGTTAAAAATGTGGTGTTCTTAGATATGGACAATAAATTATTTATCTCAAGTTACAGTGTACACAGGTACAAAAAAAGCCCACATCATTGTAAAACCAATAGCATCACTACTCCGCTTTGAAGCTAAAATATTTTGAACTATTATTGTACATAAAAATATTTTATGGTTTGTGGCCTATGTTTCAGTACACAATATGTAAATACATGCTTGCCTATTTATTTTACTGTAGCCATTCGTTCTAATATTACTGTTTTACGATTAAATTTAAATGTAGCTAGAAAAATAATGCCTTAACGTTATATTTCAGATGTATACAAACATGTTAGGTTACATACACAATATTATATTTCGGGGGTTAAAAGTGGAATTGAAATAAATACAATGGTTCAAGATGTATCATTTATATGACACTTATATATAAACTATTACTGCGTACTTATAAAAATCATTTATGGTTTGTGACTTATTTTTCAGTACACAAGATGTAAATATAAGCTTGCCTGTTTTTTTTTTACTATAGCCAACCATTCTAATAACATCTGTTATTACGATTAAATTTAAATGTAGCTAGAAAAAAAATGCTTAAATATTATATTTTAGATCTATACAAACGTGATCTATGCATTGACTAAATGAATATTATATGTCGAGTGTTAAAAGTAAAATTGGAGTTAGTACAATGGTATAAGTATTATCATATATATGATTAAAATTAAATAGATCAAATTTAATTTATATCTTATTAGAGTGGACTGAACACATACATAATTTATGTCGGCAATAAATAAATATATATATATATATATATATAAAGTCAAGCACACAAAGTAGCTTTAGGAATATAACTTTAACGGGTAAAAAAGATGCTGTCTCACAGACCACATATCACTGTAAATCTTATTAGGCTTCTCATTACTGTTCTAGATTCGTGTTAAAAATGTATTGTTTTTAGGTATGGAAAATTTATCTCAATGCAACAAATACCTATATTATGCGACTGTTTTAATTAGTGGTTAAATACTACCCAATTATAAAAACGTATTGCTTACTACTTCACAGCTATAATATACATACATAATTCATAAATTGGTAAACATCTATATTTATTTTTAGGTTGTCTTAATTTAACCATGAAAGGTAAAAATTCACGTAACTTAAAAAATTGAATTAAAAAAACCAAATTAGTTTAATTGAAAACTGAATTTTTGTATAAGATTAAGCTTCGATGCGTAGTTGAGAAGCTATTGGTGTTATGTGATGTAGTTTTTTATGTGCCTTTGTACAATGTAACTTTTTTTAGTACTGGACCGCAATACTGGACTTTCTTAATCTTATTTAAAACGAAAAACGTGGATCGTAGTGTAGTTTCTTTAAACCCACACAACAGTTTATATCATTTTTAGTGCATTACAATTGTAAGTGACTTAGGCGAACTATTCATGCATCAATTATCTATTGAATGAGTCCCACGTTTTTCGTTTTAAACCTTTCAAGTATATTTATATTTAAAAATTGCATTTAACTTTCATATTTGATATTTATTAGTCTACTTTAAAAACATAGAGACATACAGACACATCCGTCTGCCACCGCCGCTAGACTACTGACAATTTACCTCAATGCAACAAATACCTATATTATTTGACTGTTTTAATTAGTTATTCAATACTACCCAATTCTGTGTATACTAAATAGCGAACATTGGCAGCCATTTCGTGAGAATTGACAATTAATATCATGAGTTGATGAAATTGTTTAAAAATTACTTAAAAACATTAATGCGTTCCCATTGACAATTCCTTATTTTTTAAATCAACACTCTTACATTCTCGTAAAAATGGAAAGCATTCAAAAATATTATTTTTCAAATTGTGTCAAATTTGTAGTAATGATTAGTAAATAATTTCCTTTCTAAATTAAAAAATTAGTGTCGTCCAAAAGCAATCTAGCCTAAATAAACTAAAACTCTAACCTAAAAAAACCGATCATTTTTCTTTAAATAATTGCACAAAGGGTGGAATGGAGTATTATTTTTATCTGCGTGCATTACTGAACCGCACTTCACCCCCATCTTGAATTTTAACTTTTAACCGAAGAGAGGGGCAAGGCAATAGCAGAGGGTACTAGGCAAATCCAACACGATGTAGTATTTCTTTTAAATTAATTCAATTGTAAAATACATTTTTAAATTACATTTTTTCTTATAGCGAACATGCATAGGTTTTGTGAGTAGTATATACGTTTTACCATTTTTTTTATTGTTTCGTTATTTGTTCCTAAAAGCTAAGTAGATCAATACTTTAACAAAACATACATACATACTTAAAAACACCTCAACACACGTGGGCTAAATATTGCCAAATTTCTATCTTATTATAAAATACAACAGCGTTACAAACAAAATTACAAATTAAACTTATAGTAGATTTATAATGAAACTGCTCAGAAATGATGCAGTTTTTAAAAAACAATATTTATATCAATAACCGTATTTTTTTCAATTCACCAACAGGGAAGAACATTAAAAAAATATGGGATTTTTATCTCCCTTAATTTTGTACCTCAACCGATTATTTTGTCGGTAATGAAAACCACATTTTTCACGTAGAAAGAAATATCAACAAGTGTACTTACTATAATCACTTAATCATATAATATGATGATTGGTGGTTTAATGTTAGTAAGAGTTGTTATAAATAATTGCAATAGCTGCGTTTCTTTAACATAGTTACCTAGATGTCCTAAATTTGTTAATACATTTTTTTTTACGTTTTTTGATGTTATTATATTTGTAAATTTTTCATTTATGATGTATTTTTGTCAATTCTATTAGTTAATATTTTTCATTGAGGTATGTTTCAATTGGTAATATGTAGATAATTTTTCGATTAATAATCTCATATCTTATCTAGATATGTATCTAGATATAGAAGTATTTAGTTATCTTTTCCCAACATTGCATAGACTTTTAAGATAAATATTTCTGTTAGAAGCACTCGGTTATCTACAACATGCCACATACACCTTGTTTTTTCGCAATTTGTAATACCTAAGTAGGTTGGTACAATATCAAAACATACATACTAAAAACACTGTCAACACATGTGGGCTACCGTGAATATTGTCAACATCTATATGATTATAGACTTCAATGGCGTTACTATAAACATGATTAAACTTATAAATATATACGTATAAATTTATTTTAATGACATACTACTTTGACTATCAAATTTCTTCTGGCACCGAATTTCAAATAAAATCAAACGTACAAGCGAATAAGTATTATATTTTTTTAATTTCCAAAAATGTCCATTTGGTATAGAGTTAATGTAAATAAATATTATTTGTGCCGTATACATTTTGAGATCTGAACAATGTGAGAAAATGAATCGCAACATTATGAAAAACAAGTAATTTAGGGCTTTTTAAATACTGAAGAGTACTATGCGTAGTATGCTTTATGTATCAGGTATGTAAACAAATAAGGTTTACAAAATCATGTATAAATCAACTAAAATTGTATTAATTTTTAAAACAAATTCGATTTTTCACTATCAGTATATATTGTTTGAGTTAATGGTTTTTTTAGCCGGTAAAATTAAATTCTTCTGGGTCCATTTTAATCAGAAGCCACCATTGATTAAATGCTGTTGAAAATGAATATGAGTCCTGGAAAATTCACCTTTACTGGTCTTTGAGAATTGGCCACATATACTACTCGTGTATTTAGAATACGATAAAGTGACAACCTATTCATATTTGTTTTGCTAATAAAAGGATCGTCAGCTGATTTTATTTGAATAGGCCACGTATTCCAATGGCTGGTGTCAAGAAGATGTTGCAAACTCTCAGTTGGACATCCACTATAAATCAATGCTCTCACTACAGCTTCCTTTAAAATTAAAAACGGTTAAACGTGTTTTTTTGAATAATGTATTTTATACAAAAATTACTTTGTCATCATCTTTAGGGAAACATATCAAATGGTCCCAATTTAAAACGGGATTTGCCACTAGTTCATTTTTCCAATCTGCAATTGTTCTATGTGGTGTCGGTGCCTAAAAAAATTAAACGGCAATTAATTTGAAAAACATATACTGACTGGAGTGTGGAAGGATTAAAAATATTTTACAGTCCGCATGTTCTCTAAACGCTAATAACTTGATAAGTGCTTATTCATTTCAGTGGCGTCAATGAGGTCAGAGGTCAACATGAAATTTTACAACTGAAAGTGATATAATTCTTATGATTGTAGCAACTATGAGAATGATTTCAATTAAAGTGTAATTTTTCACTTTTATTGTTTTTCCATAATTTGAATACGAGTTTTCGAGAAAATTGCAAAATATATTATAGCCTCCAATTTAAAATTACCTTATCAGTCTATTTTTTACCCCTGAAACTTCTCCTAAAACTTTACCTGCGATGTAGGTGTAACGTTTTTATTTTTTTGATAGCTTAATCTATATATCTATGTAATATTTTTTCTCTTCTCTATTTTTGGTTTGTAATTAATAATGTAATAACATATTTCATTATTATTTAACTATCTTCGTTACCACAAGCTCAGCTTCTAGAAGGTAGATAATTTATGTAAATCATATTTTGTTGTTTCTGTTATAATATGCATTTTAAAATAAGTAAAAAAAAAATTGTGCACGGTGGGGTCGGGGCTTAGTGGGTACGGGGAGGTTCCCACTAAGTTTAAAATTCAAGATGGGAGGTAGGGAGTGTAGTGTCGTTAAAATTAATTAAAAACTGGTTACCGATCATTTATAAAGCTTAGCAAGTTATTCTGCTGGATTTTGTCGATAAGAAGTCATTTAATGTCTACATTACCAGCAAAGAAGACCCAATATATTGTCATAATTGATTCTATAAGCTATGTAGAGTTATCATTTTGGAAGACTATAAATATTGTTATGAGTATAGACCAGCAGTTCTCAACCTTTGTGTAGTGGCAACCCAAGATATTTATCCAATTTTTCATGCGACCTTTTTATAAAGGAATATAAAATAACTATTGAGTACTCTTAATTAAATAATTTTTTTTACTCATATTACTTATTCTAATAACAGGTCATAATATTAATTACACTCTATTTAAAAATAAACATTATTTTTCAAGGTTATTCAACATTATTCAAGGTTTGATTCATAGAAAACTTAAGCACTTATGGTTATATGTAATAAAATAATAATAAAAACCCTTAACCATAAAAATTATATACTCTTAAGGTTTAATTAATTTTTCACCAATATTATACGGCTTTTTTGTCTTTGCGATATGAATAGCGGCAATAACAGAACATTTTCAACACACCTTGTCAACTGCTGTATTTGATTTAATATTTTTTTTATTTATCTTTAACTCATCACGTTTTCTGGGAAAAAAATCTGTATTTTTAATTTCTATATTCATTATGATTAGTTTCAAGATGCTGTAAAAGTTTTTTTGGCTTTAAAGAAGCATTTGCTAGTACAATACCTAGTACAACGATATAAAAGACTATTCCCAGGTAGCCAAACTCAAAAATGAAAATATTATATCAACGTTTTAAATTTTTGCCGACCCAGTTAACATTATTGGCGACCCAAAATTGGGTCGCAACCCTATGGTTGAGAACCGCTGGTATAGACTTTTCAATTAGATAGGAAAAAAAATCTACCATGGTAAGTGGGGAAATGCGGGACAACATAATATAATATGCCATGCAAACTAGGGTGGTTCAAATGGTTAAAGGTTTTATTATTTTTTGTACTTCTCTTAAGAATATATTATTTGGTTGAAAAGATAATTTTTGATATTTTATTTAGATTTTTAAACCCATTCCTAGATGTAGTTCGGGTTGGTTTATATCAAATGTTTAATTTTTAATTTAATAAAAAAATGCTTCAATAAAAAAAATTATTTAATATGAAATTTATCAGCATAAAAAAAGAAATTGAAGCTAAAAATACGAAATTGCTAATGCTATGGGCCAAAATGGATGGAAATTTTTGATATCTTAATAAAAAAAACCACAGAACTATCCTAAACATTTTTTTTTAATGAAAAAAATTCTATCATATTTTCCATTTAATTGCGATCAAAATGATTATAATAACAAAATACAAGTTAATGGTAAAAATAAACAAACTGCAATAATAATGCAGAATATGACAAAACGATATTTTATTCTAAAAAAAATTGTTTAGGATAGTTTTGAGGGTTTTTTTAACAAATAATTATCAACATTTATTTATTTTTTCATGCTGGTAATTTCCATTTTTAAAAGATTTATTAAACAAAAAAAAAATAAAACTTTTAATATAAAATTGACTCGAACCACATCTAAGAATGGGTTTAAAAATCTAAAAAAATATCAAAAATTATCTTTTCATCACAATAATATATTCTTAAGAGAAAAAAAAATTCGTTTTCTACCACTTTAATACAAACTTTCTATCTTTAGTATGCGCGATCATTCGTTTTTGCATTCCCAAAATCAGTATGAAAAGTACTATCGATTAAAAAAAAAAGGTATCCACTAAAGTAGATTTACATCCGCAATGTTAAAACATTTAAAAATTGTTGTGAAAATATGTAATTTATGATAAAATCAATTTAATTTTTTATCCTAAGAATGCAAAACATTTATGAAAAACATAAAATTTTCTTTAGGCCGACTAAAAAAAAATAGAGGACAATACTCGATTATATTTACCGATGTCCCGCCTGAACAATTTCCACCAGCGTTCACTAAAACATGAAAACACGACAACAAAAGTATAATTTTCCAAATCATTTTTTCGTTTATTTACTGTGAAATGCCTTACAATGCACTAAGAAACAACTAGACAATTAAAAATCAGGAACAGCAATGAACATTTGTTAGTCTCAAGTATTTATAACAGCTTGCATGTTTGTTTTACTGTAGTCACCCCTTCTAACAACATCTGTTCTGCTCTGTTAACATTGTGTTTCAGAAGTATACAAACATGATTTATAGAGTTGCTACTCGAAGGAATTGGTCCAGTACCAAAAACATTTCTAGTGCTGATTTTTTCCCCTGTTCAATATGTTATAGATAAACATGAGCCTAGCCTTCTGACTAATTATCAACTATAAGGTCTAAAAATTACGTCTATAAAACAAAAAGAGACCCATGATGGGGGCAGTGGGGTGTGGGGAAAAGTAAATCAAAAAATGTAGGCTACCGTCGAAGCAGCACGGCATGATGATGTGTGATCTATGGAGATAATATGTTACTCGATGAAATTTGCCTGGCGATTTAAAAGCTCTGTGTATAACTTTTTAGAGGATAATTACAAACTTAAGGTCAGAAAATTAGACTATAAGGTAGTTCACTGTAGCCATATAAAACATATAACCGCCTTAATAATCTCTAGTCAAATTTTTTTCTACTAAGCAAAAAAAACCACAAATAAACAGAGTCCAGAGAATGATTTAAATTTATTTAATATAACAAATTTACAAGTATAAACATTGAATTCATTTTGATTATTTACTATCTATACTCCATTGAAAATATTGTTATTGTGTCATTTCATACCTAATCGCCTAAAGTCTGTACGATTGGATTTTCAAAATTCATACATTGCATGCGGAGTAAAAATATGATTATTTGAAGTTCGTTGTAAGCATTGTACACTAATCTTTTAAAAGTCCCTCTTACCCATATTTTTATTTGTCTCTTAATTGAAACATTGACCTCGAGTTAGTATTTTTTATACTATTAATTATATTATTATAATCCACTGCAGATTTAAGTAATTGGAACTATTTATTTATTTCGAAATTCAGTTAGTGTACCCGCTATTAACTAAACATTTTAAGTCTATAAATTTCGATATTAATATAATATTTATATTGTCTACAAAAAGTTTAGTCATGTTTTTCTTGTAACTCTATTGTGATTTATGGTAACATACAAGTTGACACCATTTACACTAGTCTAAGTATGTAAAGGTATTTTTAAATATTTATATTATACCAAAGCATTATTATGTACTCAATTGTCAAGAACAAATAAAGAAACAAAATAACACGGTACCTACAAAAGCTATGCATGTTAGCACCAAGAACAAATTGTTTTAAAATTCTATTACAATTGACCTAATTTAAAAGGAATAACATATCGTGTTGAATTTGCCTATTAAATTCGTGGATACTTTATACTAACTTTTTACTAATTCATACTAACTTTATCAATAATTATATTTTATAAATTCGGCAGTAAGGAAAAATATTAAAAAACATATTTTTACTATTATTTGTGTATACCACGCTCCTACTCAGAAAAATATACATAATTGGGTAGAATTAAACTGTGGGATAATATAGGATAACATGATAAATATCTAATTAGAAGAACTAAATAAATAATTGGCCCAACTAAATGTTTACAGGACCAAATTTGTATTTAGATATTTCAATTATAAATTTATTGTGACCTTATAATAGCCAAACTTTTAGTTGGAACAAGTTTTTATTACGTCAGTCTAACTAGGAATGTTTTGTACCCTTATATAGTTTAAGTTTTAGTTGGACCAACTTAGTATTTTTGGAAGAGTTATTGTTGTACTTAAGATACTTGTAAGATTTAAAACGAAAAACGTGGATCGTGTTGTAGTTTCGAAAACCCACACAACAGTTTATATCATTTGCAGTGCATAAAATTGTTAGTGACTAAGGCGAACTATTCATGCATCAATTATCTATTGCATGAGCCCCACGTTTTTCGTTTTAAATCTTTCAAGTACTTTCTTATTTTAAAATTGCATTACAATTTTCATATTTGAAATCATTCTATATTTATTAGTCTACTTTAAAAACCTAGTAAATTAAAACAATTTTTTTTGTTTAAATAATTTTTTTCTGCTTGTTAGTCATGTACCTATGTGTACAATTTCGTAATCGATTTTAAACATCTTGATGAGATTATGACAGACACGTGGAAGATTTCAGGTTTATTTCAGTTTTTCTTCACCTGCTCATATCTGAAATAGAAAATTTGAATTAATTCATAATAAAATTAGTTTTTATGATTCTTGTTCAATAAAAGCTATTAAAGAAAAAAAAGATTCTTGCTTTGATATTGAAATAAACTAATGCCAGGTTTGTCTTAATTCTAATATTAAATCAATCTAATCAATCTTAAATATATTCTGACTCACATATGGTGCTCGAGGTAGTGCACATTCGGTTGCCTACTCTGTGCCCCTCCGGGACTCTTCTTACTTTTTTTTTTTGTCTGTCTGATTTGATCGTGAATGGGTTTAGTCGTCGCTTGCATTTTTATAACACACACTAAAAAAACTGCCAACACATGTGGGTTACCGTGAATATTGTCACCATCTATATGATTATAAACTTCAATGGCGTTACAAAAAAACATGATTAAACTTAAAAATATATACGTATAAATGTATTTAACGACATGCTACTTTGAATATCAAATTTCTTCTGGCACCGAATTTCAAATAAAATCAAATGTACAAGCGAATAAGTATTATATTTTTTCAACTTCCAAAAATGTCCAAATTTCAATTTGGTTTTGGAAACACGAAGAACCAAATTTCTTATAATTTTTTTTTTTTTTTTTAAAAGTCATGTTCAGAACTCCCGAGTCATGCCGTTGCTGGTCGGCGTCGCAATAGTAATACTGTTGGTTAATTTAGTATATAATAATATTATAATCTTGGGCTAAGAGCATAGCACAGAGTAGGGTTTAAACATATTACATTAAAGTAATAGAACTTTAGAAAAAAAAAAAACCAACATTTCGGGTAAGATAAAACACTGTCCCAGGAGCCTCTATATCTCTACCTGAGTTAGGTACCATAAATGTGCATTTTCGCACATTTTAAACAGTAAGCACTGATTATCCAAATTTTTAGCTTCAATGCGGATGTATTACACTTTTAGTTTTCGTTGCATACAAACAAAATAACTACTAATCATTATTATTATTTAAACAGATTTTTTTTTTATAAAAAAACGTAATATCTCCGTGAAAAATTCTCACATTTGTGAAAAATATAAAACAGTAAAATACCAAATGATTTTTTTTATACTTATGTTGTATATTATCATAATCAACGTTTTTGTTAAATTATCACTTCTCCGATCTTCTACTTTGATAATATATTAACCTCCATTACTATTCTCGTTAACTGGTTTCAATATTTCAATTAAGGCTTTATAAGGTTCTTAGTCATAAATATCCAACTTTAGTTTTCAATATGAAACTATAGTTTCGAATTCTTTCATCGTTTAATATGTTATACAAAAGACTTCGAAGTCCTGACAAACTAACCCACAAATTCTCAAACGCGACGAAGGTCAATGCCAATTATTAATGGGTCAAATAAATACTTTTTAACAGTAACAAAGCGTTTCTCATTTTAGGGCTTACAGAATAAAATGTACCATACTACTTATAATATTTTTTGATTTGGGCAGGTATTATAGAAATTGTATATTACAGCCAGTATTTTTGTACAATTTTCTTGATTTATAATACAAGTATAAACTTAATAAAAAATTTTGCTGTTAAAACGAATTTGTTCTTCTTTGTACAACTGTGTTAAATGTAGGACAAGTTTATTTTTTGTTCAATATAGGACGTTCTACTAACATGTGTTCTATAACATTATGCATATGTTTTTTTTTTAAGTTTCTACAGTATTTTTTGTCCTTGAAAAAAAATGTTCGGCCACTCGTATGAAAAAAGATTAATTATTATTATTAATTACACTATTTTTCAAAACAAGCATGCTTAAGTTAAAAGTTAATTCATTACATACGTTAGTCGTTAGCACTTGGGTTAAGGTTATATTGTTCAAGGAACGAATTTTAAATATCATACCCAATAATCTAACCTAACATATCAAAATATATTAACGTTTTAATCTATGACTCATAATGGCTCATATATTTGTATAAATTTATAAAAAAAGGGTTCTTTTGTAGTTAGGTTTGGTTAACTTATTGACTACAAATCAATGAAAGTTTCCTATCATGTGTTAATTTTTTTAGTTAAAATATAATAATATAATTTTCTCACTTGAATTGATATAAAATATTTAAAAAACTTTTAAAATATGCCATCGGTCCCCTAACCCCACTAATAAGAGGCCAATCTAAAATCTGATGCAACATTTCGGTTCAGGTGCCTTTAAAACTTATAAATATTTAAAAACAGTTAAAATGTAACTAATTTATAGTATTAATTTATTCGAGCTAATTTTCATTTCAGCTTACTGTGTGGCCACTACGGACTTCTATAGATCAAAAGTTACAGCTACCATTTTATCAAAAATATGTAGTTAAACTCAATTGTTATTTTTCTTTTTTGCATTATACAAATACAATTTTTATAGTTCTACTATTTTATGCAAAACTATTTGTATTTTTGGCTGTTATTAGTTGTATTTTGGAACGTTTAAATTTGCGTGCACGATAGTACAATATTATGTTTTTTCACCTAAGTATATCTTGTATTCTGTTAAAGACGTTTTTTTAATATTGTGTTAATTTTCTATTATCATTAAACGGCATACATTTACTTAACTGGAAATAATTTTATTGGTGAAAGTCTTAACAACACTTGGAAATAAAATTTTGCATTTAACAAAAAACAACTACTTTTACCTATCTCAGACTTCTAGCACATGTCAATAAGTAAACCACTTCTTACCAATTGGTGTAGAGTTTATGGAAATATATATTATTTGTGCCGTATACATTTTGACATCTGAATAATGTGAGCAAATAAATCGCAACATTATAAAAAACAAGTAAATTAGGACATTCTAAATACTGAAGAGTACAAATAATATAGAGGAAGGAATATTATAGCTTTATTAAATCAATGTATAGATCCATATAACACACTCATTTCACTTAATTCCGTTAATAACAAACAAGTAAAAGCGTAGTATGCTTTATGTATCAGGTATGTAATAAATTAGGTTTACAAAATCATATATAAATCACTTAAAATTATATTATTTAAAAAAAAAAATTAGATTTTTCACTATCGGTATAGATTTTTTTGAATTAATGGTTTTTTCAGCCGGTAAAATTAAATTCTTCTGGGTCCATTTTAGTCAGAATCCACGATTCATTAAAGTGATGTGAAAACCATTAGAATTCCTGGAGAACTCACCTGTTGACTTACATTAGGGGCCGCGTATACTATTCGTGTATCAGGAATACGATAAAGTGACAATTTAGCCATATTGCTTTTGTTAACATATGGATGCTGATTTGATTTTATTTGACTAGGCCACGTATTCCAATTACAGGTAACAAGAAGTTCATTCAAATCATCCTTTGGAACTCCACTAGACATCAATGCTGCCTTTGCATCTTTCTTTAAAAAGAAAAACGGTTAAACGTGTTTTTGTATAATGTATATTATACAAAAGTTACTTTGTCATCTGAATCAATGTGGATTATCAAACGGTTCCAATCTATATTGGGGTCTGCATTTAGGGTATCAATCCATTCAGAAATTGTATCATGTGCCTGGTAGTCCTCGTCTGCACCCTAAAAAAAAAATTAAACGGCAATTAAAATTGAAAAACATATACTAACTAAGTGTGGAAAGATTAAAACTATTTTACAGTTTGCATGTTCTGCGTTACCACAAGTTCAGTTTCTAGAAGGTCGATAATTTATGTAAACAATATTTCGTTGTTTCTGTTATAATATGTATTATAAAAAAAGTAAAAAAAAATTTAAACAGTCAAGTCGGGGCTAGTGGGGACGGGCAGGTTCACGCTATAATTAAATTCAAGACGGGAGGTAAGGAGTGTAGTATCGTTTTAATCTGCACGAAATACCTACTTAACCACACTAAACTGGCCGTCTTAAACTTTACTATTTGAACGACCTTAAAATTAATTAAAAACTGGTTACCGATCAATTACAAAGTTTGCATATTATTCTGCAAATTCTTAATGGTTTTTTTTATTTATTGTTCTTCTTTTAAGAAAATATTATTTGGATGAAAAGATTATTTTTGATTAAATTTTTTTTAGATTTTGAAAAACCCATTCCTAGATGTGGTTCGGGTCAATTTTATATAAAAACTATAATTTTTTTTTATTTTTAATAAAAAAATGCTTAAAACAAACTCTTTGGTATAAAAATTTACCAACTTAAAAAAATAAATGAATGGCGATATTCACTTGATAAAAAAAATACGGAATTGCTAATGCTACGGACCAAAATAAATGGAAATTTTGAATATCTTTATAAAAAAAACCACAAAACTATCCTAACAATTTTTGCTTAGAATAAGATTCGATCATATTGTCCATTTAATTACGAACAAAATGATTATATAAACAAAGTAAATTTTTTTTCCAATGGTAAAAAAAACTGCAACAAAAATAAAACATTGTAAAAAATAAAAAACAATTCTAGCCATGATACATTTATTTTTCCATTCAAAAAAATATATAAACTATATATTAAAGGAATGGAAAAACAATATAGAACGCAGAGACAAATACTTATTTTTTCTATCTATTATGATTTTAATTTCATAATAAAAAATAAACAAAATTAATTATATAAAAAAAAAGAAGATACTCGATTATATTTACCGATGCCCCGCCCGAACAACTTCCACCAGCGTTCACTAAAACGTTAAAACACGACAACAAAAGTATAATTTTCCAAATCATTTTTTCGTTTATCTACTGTGAAATACCTGAGCACTAAGAAACAACTAGATAACTGAAAATCAGAAACAGCACAGAACATTTGTTGGTCTTAAGTATTTATAACAGCTTGCGTGTTTGTTTTACTGTAGTCAGCCATTCTAACAACATCTGTTCTGCTCTGTTAACATTGTGTTTCAGAAGTATACAAACATGATTTATAGAGTAGCTACTCGAGGGAATTGGTCCAGTACCAAAAAATATACAGTGTACACAGACACAAAACAAGCCCACATCGCTTCGAAGCTAAAATATTTTGAATTATTATTGCATATAAAAATAATTTATGGTTTGCAGCTTATGTTTCAGTACACAATATGTAGGTAAACACACGCTTGCCTGTTTTTTTTTCTGTAGCCTACGATTCTAATAACATCTGTTCTTACAAATACATTTTAATGTAACCAGAAAAATAATGCTTTAACCTTGTATTTGAGATGTGTACGAAATTAATGTATTTATTGACTAAATGAGTATTATATATCGAGGGTTAAAAGTAAAATTTGAATGAATACAATGGTTTAAGATGTATCATTTATATGATTAAAATTAAATAGATCAAATTTAATTTATTTCTTATTAGAGTGGACTGAACACATACATAATTTATGTCGGCAATAAATTTATGTATATATATAAATTCAAGCACACAAAGTAGCTTTAGGAATATAACTTTAACTGGTAAAAAAGATGCTGTCTCACAGACCAGATATCACTGTAAATCTTATTAGGCTTCTCATTACTGTTCTAGATTCGTGTTAAAAATGTATTATTTTTAGTTATGGACAATTTATCTCAATGTAACATATACCTATATCATGCGACTGTTTTAATTAGTGGTTCAATACTACCCAATTATAAAAACGTATTGCTTACTACTTCACAGCTATAATATACATACATAATTCATAAATTGGTAAACATTCATATTTATTTTCAGTTTGTTTTAATTTAACCATGAAAGGTAAAAATTCACGTAACTTAAAAAATTGAATTATAAAAACCAAATTAGTTTTATTGTAAACTAAATTTTTGTTTAAGATTTAAGCTTTGATGCGCAGCTGAGAAGCTATTGGCTTTATGTGATGTTGTTTTTTTATGTGCCTTTGTGCAATGTAACTTTTTTTAGTACTGGACCGCAATACTGGACTTTCTTAAACTTATTTAAAACGAAAAACGTGGATTGTGGTGTAGTTTCCTTAAACCCTCACAACAGTTTATATCATTTTCAGTGCAATACAATTGTAAGTGACTTAGGCAAACTATTCATGCATCAATTATCTATTGAATAAGTCCCACGTTTTTCGTTTTAAACCTTTCAAGTATATTTATATTTAAAATGTTCTCAATTCAGTTTCAAAAGTTGATAGTCATTTGGAAAAAATAAAAATATAAATGTACTGTCTAACATTCTAACATAAAATAAAACTTATTTAAAATTTTCTGAAACGTCATCACGATACTTTTTAAAAATACATTTTATACTTGTTACAAATGTTATTAAGTATTATTATTTGATTTTTATTAGTAAATTTTATAAATCAATTTTCATTTGATACGACCTTGGTATTTTTGGAAAATGATTCTAAAATTTGATCTATCAAATCAAATAGCGATGCTTTGATTGCTTTACTAGTGACTTATCAAAGTTAAAATTTTACAATATTTTCATCGACGGTTTTATATTTAAATAATTACATAATGAATAATAATTAATACAAAAGAGACTTAAATAAGAATAAAGTACACCGATGTACAACAATAATTTGTATTTATCTTATGCCGAACTTAAGGCTCCTTTAACTACTGAACTAAATAATCGGTTTTGTTATATGTATAGATTTTTTAGCTTTATCTATTTTATGAACCGTGCAATATTCTTAGCAAAAATAGTTGTTCATAGCCAAAAATAGCCGTTAAAAAAAAGAAACCAACGATCACCTTGTGTTGATAATTTATTTTTCTTTTAAGTATTTGAATACATAGATTATCAATATTTTGAATTATTTTTCATAGTTGATAATAATGATTGGAGTTAGAATTTTTATTTTAGTTGGTAACATATTTTCAAAACGACTTGGGTATCATGTTTTTATATTTTTTTTGTGTTTTCGGCGCAATATTAGGTACTCTACAAACAAGTAAGTACATTATTTTGTACTGGTTTAAGAAAACCTGTTTTTTTAAAGCATGTTTCGTTTGATTGTTTTGTTTTTATATGTTTGAACTATTTTCTTGCACGGCAGTACTGTATATTTACTTAAGTTATAGCAAATACCTGTGATATACATCTGTGTTTTACCAATGTTGGAGTATTCATAATGATTCGATTTACTATTACACCTCTCAAGACATATTGTAACTACATTACAATTAGCGTTTAACGCATAATTACAGGTATACAACTAGAATTTTGATTCTATGGATGGGGATGGGGGGGGGAGTGTCCAAAAATAAGGGCCACTCTAGTCTACATACATACAGTCTGTAAATAACAAATATATTTGTATTACTTCTGTCAAGACTTGAATCCCTCCAAAAAATACTTTATAATAGTAGAAGCCCAGTGACAATCAAATTATTTTCACCTAAATTAAAACAATTGATTTAGCCAGGATTTTGTTTTAAGGGATGGTCAATTTTCGATTCAGCACTGTATTAAGTCTTATATATTGTGTGTAAGTGTGAAAATAGAATATTTGTAACGGGTTGGCTCAGGTACCACTTTTCTGATCGACATGCTGTGTTCTCAACTTTGAGAGCATAGCATTAAACATATTATATTAAAGTAATAGAACATTAGGAAAAAGTAAAAAACCAACAGTTCGGTAAGATAAAACACTGTCCCGCGAGCCTCTATATCTCTACCTGAGATACCATGGATGTGCATTTTCACACATTTCAATATTTTAATTAAGGCTTTATAAGGTTGTTAGTCATAAATCTCCAACTTTAGTTTTCAATATGAAACTACAGTTTCGAATTCTTTCATCGTTTAATATGTTCTAAGTCCTGACAAACTTTCAGCCTAAAATAACCCACACATTCTCAAACGCGACGAAGGTCAATGCCAATTATTAATGGCTCATATAAATACTTTTTAACAGTAACATAACGTTTCTCATTTTAGGGCTTACAGAATAAAATGTACCATACTACTTATAATTTTTTTTTTGATTTGGGCAGGTATTATAGAAATCGTATATTACAGCCAGTATTTTTGTACAATTTTCTTGATTTATAATACAAGTATAAGCTTAATAAACAAATTTGCTGTTAAAACGAATTGGTTTTGTATTTTCTGCTGTTGTTGTCGTTGTTGCTTCGTTCTTCTTTGTACAACTGTGTTGAATGTAGACAAGTTTATATTTTGTTCAATATAGGACGTTCTACTAACATGTGTTCTATAACATTATGCATATGTTTTTTTTTTAAGTTTCTACAGTACTTTTTGTCCTTGAAAAAAAATGTTCGGCCACTCGTATGAAAAAAGATCAATTATTATTCTTAATTCCACTATTTTTCAAAACAAGCATGCTTAAGTTAAAAGTTAACTCATTACATACGTTAGTCGTTAGCACTTGGGTTAAGGTTATATTGTTCAAGGAACGAATTTTAAATATCATACCCAATAATCTAACCTAACATATCAAAATATATTAACGTTTTAATCCATGACTCATAATGGCTCATATATTTGTATAAATTTATAAAAAAAGGGTTCTTTTGTAGTTAGGTTTGGTTAACTTATTGACTACAAATCAATGAAAGTTTCCTATCATGTGTTAATTTTTTTAGTTAAAATATAATAATATAATTTTCTCACTTGAATTGATATAAAATATTAAAAAAAACTTTTAAAATATGCCATCGGTCCCCTAACCCCACTAATTAGAGGCCAATCTAAAATCTTATGCAAAATTTTGGTTCAGGGGCCTTTAAAACTTATAACTATTTAAAAACAGTTAAAATGTAATTAATTTATAGTATTAATTTATTCGAGCTAATTTTCATTTCAGCTTACTGTGTGGCCACTACGGACTTCTATAGATCAAAAGTTACAGCTACCATTTTATCAAAAATATGTAGTCAAACTCAATTGTTATTTTTCTTTTTAGCATTATACAAATACAATTTTTATAGTTCTACTAACTTATGGAAAACTATTTGTATTTTTGGCTGTTATTAGTTGTATTTTGGAACGTTTAAATTTGCGTGCACGATAGTACAATATTATGTTTTTTCACCTAAGTATATCTTGTATTCTGTTAAAGACGTTTTTTTAATATTGTGTTAATTTTCTATAATCATTAAACGGCATACATTTACTTAACTGGAAATAATTTTATTGGTGAAAGTCTTAACAACATTTGGAAATAAAATTTTGCATTTAACAAAAAACAACTACTTTTACCTATCTCAGACTTCTAGCACATGTCAATAAATAAACCACTTCTTACCAATTGGTATAGAGTTTATGTAAATACATATTATTTGTGCCGTATACATTTTGACATCTGAATAATGTGAGCAAATAAATCGCAACATTATAAAAAACAAGTAAATTAGGACATGCTAAATACTGAAGAGTACAAGAAATATAGAGGAAGGAATATTATAGCTTTATTAAATCAATGTATAGATCCATATAACACACTCATTTCACTTAATTCCGTTAATAACAAACAAGTAAAAGCGTAGTATACTTTATGTATCAGGTATGTATTAAATTAGGTTTATAAAATCATGTATAAATTAACTAAAATTGTATTAATATTAAAAAAAAATTAGATTTTTCAATATCAGTATATAATTTTTTTAATTAATGGTTTTTTTGAGCCGGTGAAATTTAATTCTTCTGGGTTAGGTCCAGTATTCACGATTCATTATAGTGATGAGAAAGTTAATAGAAATCCTGGAGAATCCACCCTTACAGGTCTTTCAGAAGTGGCCACGTATACTACTCGTGTATCAGGAATACGATAAAGTGACAATTTTCTTATATTTGTTTTGCTATAATAAGGTGGCTGATTTGATTTTATTGA